TTTATGCTCTATCCGATAGTGAAATCAAACTTTCTGAAGAAGGTTCATGAAAAATAGGAAAGACTGATTTGGAGAACCAATTTTCGATAAAATTGACATTTTGACCTGCTCTACTGGAGTTGTCGTATAATATGAATAAAAACTAAATATCAATTTCTACACAACTTGACGATGGCTACAAAAGTAGCATTGTGAAATCTTGCTAGCAAAATGTCGATGTAAAAGTGGGTGAACCTGCGTGAAAGCACCCCGATCGGAAATTCATGAAAAACGGAAATGGAGATTTTTAAGATAAATCTTCTATTGAGTGTATTTCCAACTCGTTTGAAAGTCACTTATTTAGAAAAAATGATATGTTCTCCAACATCTACATAACTAAACGTATTTGAAAAGCTTCTAAAAAAATTCAATTATCAATTATCAAATATCGTAATTTATTTACTTTCTAAACTTAATCTACTGTTATATATCATTCGAATATAAACGTAGAGATCAATGCTTGAACGTACTTATCTCTGAGCCATACTTGTTATGGTGTATACTTTTTTGTAGGTTTTAATGCATACTAGTATTCCTTTCTAGAACTGAACACATTAGTGATCAACTAGTATCATATTACGACATCGAATCAAACAATGTAGAAACAGTTGTATTCTTAGTCATAATTAATATAGTAGTCGATAAACATGAACAACTCGATAATTTGTTAAAGAAATGTTTTATGCGGTGACATATCTTAAACGTTCAGAGAGCATAATCTCATGACTTATAAGGAAGAAATAAAAAACGTTGATATGAGTACTTTTTCAGTTTGTTAAAAGTCTATGTGAAATAATTATCTTACCAGCTAGGCTGGTTGTTGACGTGGTTGTTTTGGTCGTAGTAGTTGTTGTGCTGGTTGTTGTTGTCAATGAAATTCCTATTTCAATACTGTTAGCACGAAAATCTACTTTACCTGGACCACTCGTGACTACTGAGAACGGTCCATAAGCTCGTGGACTATACGTTGTTACTACAAGAATATATGTTACTCCAGATTGAAGAACATGTGTCAGTTTAAATTGTACACCACCAGCGCTATCATCGTCTTCTACCAGCAGATTAAAAGATAATATTGCTTTATTGAAACTGTTGATGTATAAGTAGCCATATGTATCCATAGTATTGTTGCTTACAAAAGTATAACTGCCGGTGCTATACACGACGATATTAATTGCTTGGTAGTAGTACTTATTAGCGTTTCCAGTTCGAAAAAAATAATTACTGTCATCACTCAATCTACTTGAGTAAGTTGTCTTCACAACCGTTGGTCCTATTATAATAGAAAACATCATCATAAGAAAGCACATTTTGATGAAATGTTCGAAATATTTATTATTTTCTTAATGCAAACTCCAGATAAAATGCTCAGAAAAACTGTGGAAAACACCTTCTGAAGATAACCCTAGATCATATAAAATTAAGACCTTGTAAAAACCTAAGACTTCTATATCTATTGTAAATCAGCATGATTCTGTACAAAAGATAATGAAAATTTACATCTTTAAATAGATAAAATAAAATAGTTTTCTTTTAAATGGCAACAAAAGTTACATTATGCTTCACGTTTATATGCCGCAAAAAATTACATCAGCACTGTATTGTAGTTGAAAGTTTTGCGTGAATGAGTAGAAAATTTTTCCACTTTAATTGAAATCTATTTTTACCGCATTATATATCGTTCTACTTAATTTGTGATGCTAATTCCGCATGTTTTACGAACTTTGTTTATAAGGAAGGTATACGTAACATGCTGCAAACTAAATTTGAAATTTAATAATGCAATGTTACTGAAATTATGCTCAATTCTTTTGTAAAATTATCTTTTAAATTTCTTATTGGTTTCCCTGTTTGTTTTATGTTATCTGCATTTGCTCTTTAACGAGAAAAGAAATCTCTTGATCAGCGGCGATATAGTATTCATTCTAGAAAACTTTATCGTCTTTTCAGTACACTAACGTACAAAAACACAACTTAAGTTCAAGTTCTCCCTACTGAAATATCCCTGTTTCAATATCACCATCAAAATACTCCTATCATCATCCGCTGAAGTCTTTCAATAAAGGAAAATAACTCGTTCTATCGTGTTTCGTGATGTAAAATAAGGCATGCATCGCATTGCATCACTACAGTAAATGGGAAAAAAAATCAGGAAAACAGCAGACAGCGTTCACTGCAGTGACTTCCTCTACGTAGTATGATAATGTTTTTCAATCTTACCTGTTGCTGATGTACTACTTCTCGTAGTCGATGACATGCTAGGTGTTGGTATGACAATACTTGTTGTCGATGTTGTTGTTGTTGTCAATGTTGTTGCTGATGTTGTTGTTGTCGTTCTTGTTGTTGCTGTTGTTGCTGTCGTTCTTGTTGTCGCTGTTGTTGCTGTCGTTCTTGTTGTCGCTGTTGTTGTTGTCGTTCTTGTTGTCGCTGTTGTTGTTGTCGTTCTTGTTGTCGCTGTTGTTGTTGTTGTCGTTCTTGTTGTCGCTGTTGTTATTGTCGTTCTTGTTGTTGCTGTTGTTCTTGTTGTTGCTGTCGTTCTTGTTGTTGCTGTCGTTCTTGTTGTCGCTGTTGTTGCTGTCGTTCTTGTTGTTGCTGTTGTTGCTGTCGTTCTTGTTGTTGCTGTTGTTGCTGTCGTTCTTGTTGTTGCTGTTGTTGCTGTCGTTCTTGTTGTTGCTGTTGTTGCGGTCGTTCTTGTTGTTGTTGTGGTTTTTGATACAGTTGTTGTTCGGATGCTTTCCGTTGTTATCGTCGTCTCAGGGGTAATCGTAGTGGTGGTAGTATCAGTTGTCGCTGTAGTGGTAGTGATATCAGTAGTCGTTGTAGTGGTAGTGGTATCAGTAGTCGTTGTGCTAGTGGTACTATCAGTAGTTGTTGTAGTGGTAGTAGTGTCAGTTGTCGTTGTAGTGGTAGTGGTATCAGTAGTCGTTGTAGTGGTAGTGGTACTATCAGTAGTTGTTGTAGTGGTAGTAGTGTCAGTTGTCGTTGTAGTGGTAGTGGTACCAGTAGTCGTTGTGCTGGTGGTACTCTCAGTAGTCGTTGTGCTGGTGGTACTCTCAGTAGTCGTTGTGCTGGTGGTACTCTCAGTAGTCGTTGTGCTGGTGGTACTCTCAGTAGTTGTTGTGCTGGTGGTACTCTCAGTAGTTGTTGTGCTGATGGTACTATCAGTAGTTGTTGTAGTAGTGGTGGTATCAGTTGTTGTTGTAATGGGGGTGCTATCAGAAATTGGTGTAGTGTCCATAGTTGTTTCCGGCACTGATGCATTGCTAATCGTTTCAGATGTGAGAGTAGTTTGCATCGTAGTTGTAGCATTTATAGCTGTCGAATCATTAGTAGTCGTGGCAAGGGTCGTCTTGGTAGTTCGAGTAGTTTGAGTCGTAGTAGTTCGAGTAGTTTGAGTCGTAGTAGTAGCAGTAGTTTGAGTCGTCCGAGTGGTTTGGGTTGTTCGCGTTGTTGTTGTCGCGGTAGTCTGTGTCGTACGAGTCGTCGTGGTTAAAGCCGTTGATGATTGACCATCACTGGCTGCATTCAACAAATGAGAAAAATAATTCGTTTTATTTCATTTTATTTGCTTTGCACCTATTTATTTTTTTTTGATTCAAAGTCTTTTGTTGACAACTGTCATTGCTAAAGGAGCATTTTTCATGGCTCTCTTTTGGTATTCATATAAGAATGTGAGTATGATGAACAATGAATTTACCAATAAATGAATGAAAAAACTCTTAGCGTGCTCACATTGGTATGGATGTCGATAATCGTTTATAACTGCCATTCAGTGTTCTCTTGAGAATACGGAAGCTGTGTCTGACGGATGTTTCTGGGTAAGCGTACAACTAACTTGCGCATAATTTCTCTATTACTTTGACACTTGTTCAAGCGCATGGATTACCCATTTTCGACGTAGTGAAACTATATTGTATTTTATAGCCTCAATCCTCTTTCGCTTTAGTTGGTCATTTAAAGTGTGTTTGTATCATCATGCTATACTCTTCAGATATACTTCCATATATAGAGAATTTTCTACTAGATATCAACAGAACTGCGCACTCATTTAATGCGGATATTTTCTATCGATTCCCAGAGGCATCATGTTAGAAAAGAATATCATCCTTATCTCGCAAGTTTTTGAACTTGGTTTTCTATAGCTTCTTAACCCTTTGTGGCAGGCACAGATAATATATCACTTCTAGCATTTCGCAAAAGTTGGATATCAGGCGTGGATGTGCATACTGTACTCGTATCGGACAAATTCATGCTGAATTTCATGTATTCGATAATGACATCAGATGAAAATATGTTATTACAAAAAGAACGGTTTTACGGGAATTCGATGAATTGTTTTATAGTTTTGAAATTCCTAACTGAGTCAGTATTGCAAGATGAATCAGGTGAACAACTAGAAGAAGGGTTACTAAATCGATTGATGGGTTTCTTTTTTTTTGTATTCCTTATTCTGACGATTTGCGACCACACTCGTCGGTCACTATCCTCCTCTTCAGACGGGTCTACATAAAGAATATCGCACACAGTAATACGAAAAGCTGTGCACCCTCATTGGCAATCATCGTAATTAATGACTTTATTTTACCTAGAACGGTTCGATAGACTTTCTTTCATATTTCTCTCAAATATTAAAAAATTTATTGAGCTACCATGTGGGAATTTACGAAACAAGCATTAACATTTTATGTTAACATTTAATTTACACTGAATGAAGATACTTTTAATCAGGTTGGCAGCAAATTCTTCAGTGAAACCTTCTTCAACACAACTTTCGACAAAGCGAAAGTAAAAAAAAGTAGTTGAATTTTAAGACAAATTCCAAATGGCTTCATTGGATAGTTTTCTTTCGAGATGTTAACATAGAGTGCAATAGATATTGATGGATGTTTTCTATGATAAGTTATAAATTTGACATTTTAATCATCTCAGAATTTCACAATAGTCAATTTTCAGTTATCCTGGAAGTTAACGAAGCTATACACACTCAATACAATAAAAAAGAAAAGAGACACTAAATCTGAAATCGTAAGATTTACTCGTTTGGAATTTCGTTTTTGAGAAATGATTGATAACTACAAGATACATTATCTGAATTCTAGTCAAGGATAAGAACTTAGTGAAGGGAACCTATGAAAGAATAAGAATAGCACCAAATCTGCGTTAGGATACAAATATCTTATTAATTGTGTCCCATCAATCAGAAACAAAGAGAAACGATCGCATTCGGAAATCTGCGTTACCATAATGGCGCAAAAATATCATTACAGAATAAGTTACCTTTCATAAGAGCGAAAAGAACGACGAAAGCCAAAACCAAATTTCGATGCATATTAATATCTACAATATAAGAGTTTTATCATAAAATAGATCTGACGCTTGCTGTCCTCATTTGAAATAGTTTGCAATGAAAAGAGTAGACTAATGAATAGGTGGGCTGCCTCAACTTCCAGTGGAAACTCACTTTCCTTAGTTTCTTGAAAAACATTTGTAAACTCCACAAAATAAAATGCGAAGTGCAGCCATTGCGAGACATCCACTATTTACAGGGAAAATGATTGTTTGCCTAATGGCACATTGTTAAAAAAATGATACGTTTTTCCAATCTTTTGAAGTAAATAGGTAAACAAAAACAATTCATGTATGAAATTTGTGAACACTAGTACGTCTTCGGTTGGTTTTAATTTGATTTCAGATTAAAGAAA